AACAATTCTAAAACAATAAAAACAATTAAAAACAATACAAAAATAAATATATACAGCAGCTAAGAAAATTATCATAATAATTATCAATATGGCCAAGAGACAGGACCCTTAACACATTTGGGGTCCCAGGCCTGGGCACATAGCCAAGTCTTTAAAGCCTTATGGAAGGCCAACAGGATTAGGGCCATCCTAATCTCTGAAGGGAGGATGTTCCAAAGGGCAGAAGTTACAGCAGAGAAGGCACGTCTCCTGGTCCCTGCCAGCTGACATTCCTCGGCTGACGGGACCTGGAGCATGCCCAACCTGCTGGACCGAATTGGACAGGCTAGAAACTATTGGGAAAAGATGGTCCCTTAAGTATTACAGCTCCTTGCCTCCCATCCCCCATCCCAATGACCGAAACTTGGGTGAGTAGCCTTTTGATGGGCCAGGGACATCCATATTTTACAGTATAATTTATGTTTCCTGCCTCAGAATGGAGAGAAACAGTGCCACTAGCTTTTTGCAGCCATAATCAGAGGAGATTCCAGGTTCAGGAAAAAAGGAGTTTATTTTATTTATTTATTTATTTATTCACCCAATACAGCTACCCATCTCAATAAATGACTCTGGGTGGCGAACAGAATTAAAACAGTAAAAACAATAGCAAACATTATAACAGTTAAAATACAGGCAGCTGAGAAACAACCCAAATAACTAACACAAGCAAGAAGGCAGTCCATGCAACAGTTGGTGCCCCAGGCCTGGATACAGAACCAGGTCTTTATGGCCTTACAAAAGGCCAGCAGGGTTGGGGCCATCCTGATCTTTGAGTGTTGCAGTAGTCCTAGAGTCAGAGGTTGCCAACCCTTGATCTTCAGTTATCAAAGAAGTATTGGACAAAGAAACAGGTGAGTTGTAGCCATGCAAATCTTGTAATATTTGGAACCTGCACTTTGTTCTCTTGAGATGTACATGTCTCATCTTGTCTCAGGCTATTTCAATAGGGAAAATATGCAATTCTCTCTTTGGTTCTGGATTTCCTGTTCAGGCAAATATATTGTTGATTAATACATTTGCAACAACAACAAGCTACCAGCTTCTTTTAGGAGAATATATAAAAATAAGACAATCTTCTTGTAGGAAATTAATACCCTACTGGCAACATTCTAGTTAGCTATTGTTAGAATAAAGAGAGAAGACAGCTAATACTAAAAAGTGGGGGAGAAACAAGAATTTCAAATTTTGAGTCAGGATACATATAAATGTCTGGTGTGCTTTAAGTTCAAAGTAATTTTTCAAAAGAAAAAAAATGAAAAACACAGGAGCGAGAAGCATCTTGTTCAGAATTATGCCTCCAGAGGATTCTCTTCCTATTGGATATAGGATCTTAGATGAGCAGGACCTTGTTCTACCCCAAGAAGACAATTCTTTAGGAAAAAATGAGGACAAAGAGAGTTGAGTGTCAAGAGCAACAGATTGGAGACCAGATTCCCCATGACTTTCAATTGACCATAAGTACTTTGATGTAATTTCCTGTAAAAGATGAGAAGGAAATCAAATGACTGCCTGGGAAAGTCCTGCTAGCTTCAACAGGAAACTTCAAATACACATTTTACATGTTATTAGAATGCCATGGATCTAGGGAGGAACAGGCCACCTATCTTGGAATTTCTACTGAGTAAATTGGTGGAAATTCTTAAAGTAAAATTTACCAAGCATTTAGAAAAATAAGGCTTGCTGAAGAATTAGCATGTCCTAATTTTTCTAGGTCTTTGAAAGCACTAGGGACACGGATAAAGATCATCCAGTATTTTATTTTACTTAGATTTTCAAAAATCTTTGGAAAAACTCTGGCATCAAAGGTTGCTGAGTAAATCGCTCTAATCTGGTTTTCAGTTTAGTCTAGGGAAGGAAGTGAATGTTAACAGAGTTTTGGCCTCTAAAAAGTACTCTGTCTTTCTAAAATATTACAAACTTAGCAATTTGATTCAAAGGAAGAATCATCTTAAGAAACTTTAGGTCCAGACGATAGTTCTATAAATGGTCTACACATTCCAAATTAAATGCTGGCAGTTTATGCTTCATATGAAAATAGTTTAGTTTACAGTAGCTAGAGGACATGAGGAATGTTTGGCCTTGATTAAGATGCAATAGCTCAGCTAGTAAATTGTGATAAGGTTATATTTATATCCTTTTTTTGCAACAGAGTTATGTCTAAGGAAAAATTACTAAACAACAAAAATTGTGCTGATAATACATGTCTAGCAACTGAACTTTGAACCTAACAAATAGTTTTGGTAATATAAATCCTTTTTATTTTTGGCTGCAACATTCAGTTTTTAAACTGTTTTAAACTGTTCACAGTAAATATTAAATATTTGGATTTGGAGATTCAGGCTCTTTTTTCTTTGATAAGAACTAGGACAGCAGACTTGTTTTCTGGTCTCATTTTATAAAACTCTTCTTACAGATATAATTTCCATTATCATAAATTTACTTGTGTAGGTGTAGCCTGTTTTTTAGAGAATCAGTTGAAGAACCCTTATATATTGTGAAATGCCAACGTATTAACCCTGACTCCATTTATTACATTAATTAATGCTGGTAACACTGAATGATGCCACTGCACATTATACATCACAAACCAGAAATATCATATCCATTCTCTGATCTGAAATATATTATTTTTCAGTTGGATCAACTGGCAATACATTTACTTTGGAGGCATCATGTTGAATATGCATGATTAGTTTTCTCACCACTTTGGTAAAGAATATAAACATTTCTGGAAGCTGTATCCTTAGTTTGTGGCAGCATGTTTTCTAACTGGATTTTATTAAACAAACAAACAAAAAGGGTCACACCTCAGCAGTAGAGAAAATGACTTATACGTTTGTCATTTCCTATCAAAAAGGTCAGGTAGCAAGTTGTGGGGGGAAAAAAAACAGCCATAAATTCTGAAGAGTTATCCCCAGTCAGAGTAGATTAGACAAATGATCTGAGCACTTGATATAAGGTACCTTCCTGAGGCCCTAAACACTGTATAGTATAGTAAAAAAACGGTGTTGTGTCAATAATTAGTGGATTCTGTTAAAGACCCTCTTATAGCAAAACTAAGACTGCAAGTCTTAGACACTAAGAGTCATACTCTTAGACTATAGCAGAACCTTCAATTTGAAGCAGCTAGCATCAGTGCCCAACCTTGACTCCATCATGTCTGTTAGTTCAGATTAAAGATCTGTCAGCCTCATCCTGTCATATCTGCCTGGGTTTTTCCTTGCAGGAAAATATAGCCTCGGAAAGAGGGAGCCCAGGTTGCTCAGGTCAGGGAGTGAAATTAAGGAAGAACCAAATTCTGAAACACCTTCAGATTCCCATAGCACCAATCTCAGATTCATTGCTTCTGAACTTTAACTGTGGTCAAATAAAGGAACAGAGGGCTGAATGCTGGAAGAATTCAAGACCAACATGAGGATCCCTCAGAGAGAGAGAGTCTGGGATGGGTTGATTGCTGGGAACTTGCAAAGCAATATCAAACAATCTGGAGTTCAAGCTGCCTTGAATCTCAAAGTTCAAAACCTTTGACCATAAATTTTCTTAAGATACATGCACCTTTTCTTTGGACCATGACCACTCTTCTAAGTTTACCATTGCTATATCTACTAAAGTATGAGTTGCTATGAGACCCAGAGAATGGCTTGAATAACTCATTCTAAACTAGGAGTGACTAAATTTGGAGGATTGGGGATAGAAGTGGATACACAAGCTGTGATTTGTAAAAATGGCAAAATCGGAATGTCATTTCATAATAAAAGCTCTGTTCCATATGTACTTGTGTGTGATGCCACCATGAAAGTACATAAGGGGCAAGGTTTGGGTCACATTTCATCACTTGCCCACCACTGAAAGCTCATGATTGGGGACCACATCTTGACCTCCCAAAGAAGCAGTCTCCAGCAATGGCTAGCCACATGCCTTTGAAGAAAGCATGGCATAATAAAAGTGGACATCATTTTAATTACCATGGCTAATAGCTATTGACAGACCTATTCTGTCACAACTTTACATAATTCCTTTAAAACTATTAAAGCAATTGCCTATCACTATATCTTAGACATATAGCAATGAGTTCCATG